GTATTCATGATTATATTCTTATTCAATGAAAAGTGATTATCATTAATATTTCCCTCATTGCACACTGCATGGAGCATCTCATCTTCTTTAGCACAATTGTGGTTTGGCATATACCAAATATAAAATTTTATGTAGATTTACAAATAAATGGGGTTTATTGAAATTTAGTATTTGAAACAATCTAATTACATTGGCCAATTTTGATGCTTGTTTCATTTTTTTTTATGTGGGTTACTATACTTGAGCTATGAGTCCTTTTTCATTGAAGAAAATACCATGGCCAATCATTGTAACAAAAAATTGATTGGTTGAATTTGTTCACAATCTCAAAAACATGTTTTGCTGATCAATTTCTTCAGATGATGGACAGCATCAGTGGAGTTGCCCACAGAAAATACACAAAATGAATTTCACAGCCCCGCCCCCTAAAATGGCGCAACTGTCCCTTTAAGCACAACTTCATATTCCAAATTAGGCTTTGCATATTTTTTATATTCAAGTTATTAATGTAGAAGGTACAGGAAGTCTAAATATTTGGTTGTTTCATCATATTGAGCTCCTATTACTTATCAAATTTAAATCTGATACTCGGTTCTTCTGCATTCAATAAAAACTAAAATTGTCAGCACGTTCTCATGTGCAATTGTGGCCAATGAGGACTTCATTAATAATATCTTTGTATGAGAATGATGAATACAATATGTTAAAGATTGCCCCAACTTTACAATTTTTGTTAATTATGGAGAAGATGTATATGGACAGCATCAGTGGAGTTGCCCACAGAAAATACACAAAATGAATTTCACAGCATTTTGTTTATCATTGAACTTTATTTCTAGGCTAAGAAAAAACCTGATCTACCAAATTATAGATGGACTGAAACAAAAGAAGATTTAGATGTAGGTAGCTATTTTACAGGATTTTAGACTTTTATCAAAAGAAATGATGTTGAATCCTTAACTTCTATACCAGAAATATTTAGACATCTTTATTTCCTTCAGAAAGTGTGCGCTGAATGCTTGTCCCGATAATTTGACTCTGTCGAAAAATTGTACAGCGTTAAATTGAAAAGTCAGTAAGCGTGCATGCTCTGGCGTTTATGGCATCATGGCATTTTAGGACAATGAGAAGGGTCATAAAATAGCAGACTGTTTTTCTTAATCATATCTGCAATGTTGACATGTGTTTTTTGACCTACACAGTACTTAATTAATTTATACATGATTTGTTTATTTTAGATTCGTATTAAATTTAAAGTTAATTTTAAAATAAAAAGTAAAGATGTTGTAGTGGAATTTAAGAAAACGGTTTGTTTGATAAATTTTGAGTTTATAACAGTGAGAATAATCACCTTTCTTGTTATTCCTTTTTACGGCAGGAGAGAAGAATAAGAACAGGGTATGGATATAAAATGGCAGCAGATTACAATCAATCAATTAGATGTAGGGCTAATGTATTCTTGAGTATATGCAAGGAACCACAGATGTCTGACTGAAAATTGGAATGGTGCAAATTTATGTTATCAGTGTCCAAGATACATATGAAAATTTACAATAGCTTT